CGGCTGCCTGCACCACCGTGGAGATGCACGAGCCTCCGCTGCTCGTAGACACGCGGCGCTTGAGCAGGGCCAGTAAGTCGAGCAGCAGCAGAGCCAGGTCAGACGACCTGGCCGTGTAGCGCGGTCCCCAGCGCCCGGGGGAGCGTGAGGGCAGGGCAGGCAGGGGAGCTGCCACGAGGCCGGGCCTGGCACGGGGGGAGGGCCGGCCTCCAAACTTTGACGCGTGCTGTTTTTGCACTCTGTGAGTTGTAGTGGAGAAAAAATATTGACATTTTCTAATAGGTCAGGGGATGGCCAAAGCATGGCCCGTGGGCCAAGGGACCAATCCCATTCTCTTTCCTGCCCATGGCAGGTCTCCTGAGAGCAGCCGTGCTGGAGGCCTGCACGGGTGACAGATGGCAATGGTACCTGGTCATGTGCCCTGAGGCTGACTTTCATCCAAGAAAAGTGTTCATATCCGTAGTGCCCATGTGCCTGCCCATCACTTCCCTCCTGCCCTTGCCTTCACTTCTGCTCTCTTTCACATAAGCTCTTCATGAACAGTTGCTATGACTTATCCTCCTTCCTGGCCTTTTGGCACCACCAGGTTGGTGTATTACCCATTGGTGCCTGTCATCTCCATGGACCAACTTGCCATGTTAAAGACCGAGGTGACTGCAGTCTCTTCCATAGAACACAAATGAATGCAGCCTTTGTGCTCATGGCAAATTGCCAAGGTGGTCCTCTTGGCTGGGCAAAGTTTGGGTAACCCCTGTAGTAGATTTTCTCATTTTGAGGTTCATCTTTCTTTTATTATTTTTTACTCTTGACCTGTTAGGAAGTGTCTGGTTTGACCTTCTCTTCAGTGTTTGCCAATAATGACCACACCATGTTTTTAAATCCACAAATATGTTTGGGCATGTTTGATTATAATTTTAGATGACATCTGAAATTGCTTAGAGGAGGACAGGAATCTAAACCACACACCTCAGAAATCACTACATAGAACAATTTCTCTTCAGAAAGCAAGGATTATGATTTCAGTACGTTGTGGCCCCTATGTTGCCCATGGACAAACCATAGGATGAAGTAGAGCTCTGCATTTTAGACTTAGGTATTAGCTTAAGTTAGTTGGAAAGATGCTTTTTAGAAGAAAACTTGAGTGCCTACTTTTAAGTATTTAAACATTTTAGAATAATTTTGATCTGTAGGTTTAAAGTTACTTGACTGTGTACTTACTCATTTTAGTTTGATCTTTAATCCTGCAAGAAAATGTAAGGAGAAAGAAACTTACTAATGGTAAGAGTCTCAAAGCAACATTATTTCCTGTTATGTTTTGCCCTTTTGTGTAACAGCAATCTGTAGTGTCTTACAAGTTAGTAAAATCAGATTTAGATAATATTGTGTTGAAAAAAGTGACTAAAATATCAGGGCAACATGGTAGTGGAGGAAGGTCCTATGCTGGTCTCACTGAAGTCATGTGCAGAATTTTCGTTCAGTTTCACAAAGTACAGGATTCGGGATGAATCATGTAGGCCCTGCTCAAGGAAAATTAAAATTCAGATGGGAGTTTTGGTGCTACAAGAATGTATGTTTGGGGCCTTAGATAAATGCATAAAAAGTTTGCTTTGGAAAAGATTTGCATTTCACTTAAAAATGAGTGGAAGAAACTGCTGGGTATTTTTTTCTAAGATGCAGCTTTCCTTACAAGTGCCTCAATCCTTTATTCCTTTTTAACAAATACTCTCACAGAACATAGTCAGAATTTCAAAAGCCTGATAAGGCTGGAGAGAGTTTTGAGTGCAGAAAGAATGCAGGATTAGGCCCAGCTTCTGTTCTAAGCACAATACGGTTGAACTGATGCTCAGAGTCACTCCTATTGCCACTATAAATCTGAGGTATGATAAGTGGGGAAGAGCAGTCAAACACACTGGAATAGCCCTTTGCATGTTGCAAAGAGTTGGCCTGGCAGTGCAGTCCTTACTCAGGCAAAGCAGGGTCACCTTGTTGCATAGTTACAATTGCTTAGCTTACATTTAGCTCTGCTGTTAAATGTTTTCCAGAATGTGTTTGTTTTTTTTTTTTCAGCAATTGAAACACATTCTCACCACTCAAGACTAAACATTTATTTTTGCTACTTTTTAAATAGACACAAGGGGTTTTTCAGATCAGAGGCACTATTCTGCAACCCCTAAGCATGTTGTCCCACAACGACTTCGTCCTGCTTGTGTGAACCAGGTGAGAAGTGCTCCTATTGCCATTGATCTTGGGGACAGACACTACATTAAAAGTCAATGTACAATACAACAATAAAGAGAGCTGCTGTTAGGTGTACAGCTTCAGTAAAACTTTCATGAGTTTTCTATGTTATAAGCCATAAAAAAACCTTTCTGCAAGGAAGCTAAAAGCTAAATTCTGCTTTTTAGTCTATCCATACAACTGTGCTGAACTTAGATTAAAGTTGTCTAGATGTAAAAAAGGCAGACTTTAGCCCTCCATTTTTTTTCAATTTGCTAGCAATTAGAGTAGCAATTGTGTAAGTTTTGGCAAATGCCAAGCAATTACATTGCTGAAATAATCCAATATTTTATCATCAAAATTCATTGGCTAGATTTACCCTTCCCTTATGCTTCTGAAGAATGAAGTCAAAGTCTCACTGGAGTGTATATTTATAAGTGAGACCACCTGGAGTATGTGCTTTTCTTGTACTGGGTCCTGAGAGCAAAACAGACCTTATGTTTTATGACTCCAAACCTTGCAGTCCTTCCTTAGCACAACCCCTACAAAGTGTGTCCTGCAGGACTGCAGCCATGGTGTATACAGAAATAACATTGCAGGAAGATTTAATTTGCTGGGATCAACCGACACCTCGTCTGCCTTTTTCAAATTCACATGTGGTTAGTCCTGCAGAGAGTTCAGGTGTTTTTTGGTTGTTTTGGGTTTTTTTGTTTTTTTTTTTTTTGTGGAACATGTGGCATTTTCAGACAAAGTCACTACTGGAAAGCTGTAAAAGACCATTCATATCTCTTATCTAGGGATGGGGAGAGAAATTAACTCTACTGCAAGCCCGAAGACAACTCTGCCAGAGCAGCCTCCCCATCAGGTGAATACTAGTCTGACTTAGTAGTTGTAAGAACAGGCAAAGATACAACTCACAAGCTGTGCTTTAAGATCAGCTTCCTTAAGTTCTACCATACAGCTGTGCAACATGATTCTTGGTTACCTACATCTTAATTTGGGGCCAAATAATGCTTTTTTTAAATGTAAGTTCAGGTTATTGATTCAGTCTAACTCTTCTTTAGTGCTTAAAACTCGCTTTGATTGCTGCATCACATCTGGGTTCAGATTTGTTGAAAAATATCTTGATGTGGCAGATTTTGAGATTTTTAATTAATCTTTACTCCTGAAAATGTCACTGAAATAAAAAATCTATGAGAAGAGCATTAGAATCAAAGTCAGAGTTTGGCCTGATCTACACTGTTACAATAACATTACAGGTCTTAATTCAGAACTAATGGAGAGATTATGATAACGCCCAGTTATTCCTCTTTCTACTCAAGAAAAATGTGTATGGACATTCTGCAGTGTTTCTGAGCAAGAAATGTCAATTTCTTCTGCAATTGAAATTGCAGAATATGCAGGTAGAAATTACTGAGTATACAGATAGAAATTGCTACAGATACAGATAGAAAGTATTAACTGTGGTTCAGTGTACTGGTTGTAGCTGATATGTTCCACGTCATGCATTTCAGTGATTAAAGATCTGCCCTCTATTGATAAACAGATTAGCTCATGATTTTCAACAGTTCTAAAAAAAAAGTACAATCACTAACTAATTTGTATAGTGAAACAGAATTTGTTAGCAAATATATCTGTTAGTTTCCAAATAATTTACTTGTTCACATTAATCTGAAAGAGAGAATTGAAAGGAATCGATCCTTTGACTCAACCTGATCCTCTGGTTGTTCAAGCCCTATTTTGAACAACCTTGTACATGCACCTAACTTGAAGGTGGTAGAGGAGTTATTGCAGAACTGGAGATCAGAACTGAATCATCCCTGATGATATTAAGCAAACTGAAATAAATACTCCTTGTTGCTCTTTTAATAGGTGGTTTGTGGGAAAATTGTTTTCTGTCTTAACTTGAGGTTAAAAAAAATGATAACGTATGGAGAAGAAAAGAATAAAAACAAACAAACAAAAATGTTTTTGTACAACCTACCAGGCCTATAGCATGACACATCTTTTTGAAATAAATAAATGTACTGGTACTAGTTGACCCTGTTCAAGCAAGGGGAAGACTAGATGGCCTCTGGAAGCACCTTCCAACCAGAAACTTGATTTCGAACTCACTGATTTCACTAGTACTTCTTTTCACAATAGTTTTACAAGGATGTAGTAAAAATACATGTGTAGTAGCACATTTCTTGGCCATGGGCATAGTTAATCCGTTTGCTATCACTGGGCTTTTTTTCATTAGTGCAGCTGTCAGTTAATACAAAAGCAAATGAAGTACAGACAATTTGCAACCCCACAGTTCTTCCCTTTGTATTTTGATTAAATGAAAAC